TTATCAATCTATTTGATTTTGGTTAGACATCTGAGCTGTTTCTATGTTCTTGCAATGGTGAATAATACTGCTATGAACATTAGTGTACATTATGACCAAATGGCATTTATAACCGGTATGCAAGGATGGTTCAATATAAGAAAAACAATCAACATAATTCACCATATTAACAAAATAACAAGAAACTATATGATCTTAGCAAATGACGCAGAAAAGGCATTTGACAAAATCCAACACCATTTCCTGATAAAGACACTCAGCAAAATTGGTATAGAAGGGGAATTTCCTCAACATAGTGAAAAGCATATATGCAAAACCAAGAGCCAACATCATTCTCAATGGAAAAAGACTAAAAGTATTTTCCTTGAAAACAGGGACCAGACAAGGATGCCTACTGTCACCACTTCTATTCATTATTATTGTATTGGAACACCCCTCCTTTTAAAGCCCTTCTGGAATCCTTGACACAAGTAACATCACCAAGAAGAGGATTTCTAGAGAGAAGAAGAGGTAAAAGACAGGAAAACATCCTCTTATTTCAGAAAAGATGATTAGGCAGCATGAGAAATTTGATTGTTCTAAACATTGTTGTTGAAAGAGGTTAAAAAGAAAATAGCTCTAATGCTGCTCAGAGAAGCCATAAGGTCCAGGATGAACAAACCCAGTGGTTTTCTGGGTGGCCAGAGGGAATGTCTGCACAGGAAGAGAAATCCGAGACCGGACTTGGAAATGAAAGTAGCTTCCACCTTGGAGGAAGCTCTCAGCTCCAGTCTCACTTACTAGTGCTGAGGACGTGGGCGGGTTACTTTGCTTCACTAAGCCTGTTTCCGCATAAAAACAAGTTGATGTCCTAGAGCCCACGCAGCCTGGTGGACTCCAGCCTCTCTAGCCCCTGCCTGGCCTTGGCAGGCTAGCTCACCTCTGCCTCACCATCTGGAGGGTCCATTAGCAGTGGCTTCAGTGGTGTCGTAGGACTGTGGTTTCAACAAGTCAGTGACTGTAAAGTGCTTGGTAAAGCAGCTGGCACTCAGTGAGTGTTTGTGCAAGCTGATGTACACTGCCACCAAGTCCGTACTGACTCCCAGTGACCTTTGAAGGCAGAGGAGGATTTCCCACACAGTTCTGTCTACAGAAGCAGGCTGCCACTTCTCCCACCACCAAAACGGCCAGTGGGTTTGAACTGCTGACTTTTCAGTTAGAAACCGAGCATTTAATCACTGCCCTGTTAGGATTCCTTACATGTGTGAAGTGCCTGAACATATGTGTTCATTCGCTTTCCTTTTAGCCTTTCACCTGGCTCTAGTCAAAATGCTTGTGTCCCCATCCCCCTGGAACAGTCCAAAGAATGTGGTTACTTACTATGACCCTTTTAACCATATTCATGGTCTTGTGACTTCCACAAAATGATTGGCAACTAAGATGCATGCTTGTGGTCTGGAGGGAGTTACCCTGTTAACCCAAAAGCCGCACCTCTGGTGATTTTAATCCATTAGTGGCTCCATGAGAGAAAGAGGGGCAGTCTCCTCTCATGTGGTTTATAGTCTTGGAAATGTCCAGGAGGGTCAGCTACGAGTTGGTTACAACTCAGTAACGAGAGACCTTCTCTAACAAACCCTGTGAGTACAGGCCCTAAAAGAAATGCTATATAACAAAAAGGTTGCAGCCATTCCACTACTGGGAATATACCCTAAAGAAAGCATAACTGCCACCCAAACAGATACATGCACACCTATGTTTATTTTGGCTTTGTTCACAATAGCAAAGAGTTGGAAGCAACCCAAGTGCCCATCAACAAACGAATGGCTAGAGAAACTCTGGTATATTCACACAGTGGAATACTATGTGGCATTGAAAAACAAGGAACTCATGAAATACTACACAAAAATGGGTGACCCTGGAGGACATTATGCTGAGTGAAATATCTCAGTCACAAAAAGACAAATATGGCATAGTGCCACTGTTATAAAAGAGGACAGACATCAGGGTTGGAGGGAGACTGAGAAAGATGGGATAAATAATGTACACTGCACTGAAACAGATGAGGGAGAGAACCGTTTAAAAGGAATATATGATTAGGTATTATTGTCATGACAGGAGTCCAGAATGAAGGCTGCATCGTGGAGTGGACTTGGGGGGAGGGATTGAATAATAAAGAAATTTTTCTTTTACTTTTCCAAGAGAAAAATGAATGGGGGGAGGGGTGGACAGGGAGAAAAGTGCAAAAATGAATGAATGGAAATCCAAAAAGTCTCTGTAAACTTTCATTAAAATAAATTTAAAATTTAAAAAAAGAAAGAAAAAAGGTTGGTGGGATCTGCCTTGGGCTTTGAGTCTCCCTTTCAGAAATTAAACGAGGAAGTCAGAGGATACAATACCACCATTTTGTGCTAGTGGCCTAGTGTTGCGTAGCTGTGACGCAATCCCAAAAAGTACAAGGTTCTAATCCTCTGGCTACTCTGTGGGGTAAAGATGACTGGTCCTACTGTGTGATTTACTGTCTCTGCAAACCACTGGAGGGTAGGCTGAGTCTGCTGACTTGATGGTACTCAAAAAGAACTCTCAAACAAGTCTACAGTATCCTCCAGATCTGTAGGGTCTCCTCTCCATTCCTGAGCGGCTCTGCTTCTCTGTTCTAGACATCTCCCCTCCATGACTCCCTCATGGGTCTCCTTTCCATGTAGTCCCTACTGGTACCTCCTTACAGGACACTGTTGTTAGGTGCCATTGGGTTTCGTACAACCTTATGAGCAACACATTTGAGCTCTGTCCTATCTTGTGCCACCCTTATAATCCACAATACATATGAGGACATTGCTGCAGTCACTGTCTCAATCCACCCCACTGAGGGTCTTCATATCCTTCACTGACCCTCCACCTTTCCAAGCATATGTCCCTCTCCAAGGACTCTCTCTCCTAACAACATGCCCAAAGTATGTGAGATGACGCTTCACCATCCTTGTCTCTAAGGAGCATTCTGGCTTCACTTTCTCCAAGACATAGCAAATGCCTCTGGCAGTCCATGAAATAATCAGTATTTTCCAACACATCTCAAAGGAGCCAGTTCTTCCCTTGTCATCTTCATTCACTGTCCACCTTTAAAATGCACAGCAGATGATTAGAAAAATGATGGCTTGAATCAGGCACACCTTAAGTCTTTAAAAAGACATCATTGCTCTTCAGCACTTTGAAGAGGCCCCTGACAACAGATTGTTCCCAGTGTTTTATATAAGCTTCCAGATGTCCTGACTGCTGGTACCAAGAGTGTTGACTGTGGATCCAAACAAGATGAAATCGTCAACAATTTCCGTCTTTTCTTCATCCATCATGATGTTGCCTCTTGGTCCTGTGGTAAGAATCTTTGTTTTCTTGACATTGAGATGCAATCCATACTGAAGGCTGTAGTCCTTGATCTTCTGCAACAAGTGCCTCAAGTCCTCCTCACTTTCAGCAAGGTTGTGCCATTTGTATAACGCAGGTTGTTGATGAGTCTTCTTCCAATCTTGATGCCGCATTCTTCTTCATAAAGTCCAGCTTCCCAAATTATTTGCTCAGCATACAGACTGTCTGGTAGGGAGAGAAGATAGAGTCCTGACGCATACCTTTCTTGATTTTGAACCATGCAGCGTTCCCTTGCTCTATTCAGAAGTTGTTGATGTAGAGGCAGTAAGGCTGTCCGGTTCCTCACAGGCAAGTCTGAATTCCTTTAGCCTGGGGAAGGCGCTGCAGACCAGCTCACGCCTGGCAGGGCCCATAATCCCTTCTAAGAGGCAACACCCCCTCCCCCACCGTCCCACACCAGGAACGATGCCACTTGCTTCCAGCTGTCAGTCCAGTAGTCTGCTGCATGTCTTCCCTGTTACCTTGTGTTGAGCAAGTTCCAAGGCCGCAGCGTCACAGAAGAGCTTTTGTGAGCACAGAGCCAACTGGCCAGGGAGGACGCCAACACATTACAGTGACATCAGTTAGCCGTGACCTTACTGGCACCAAGCTCTGGGCTTTCAGATCAGCCTTTGGAGGAAGAAATAGAAATGATTTTGCTGTCAGGGTCAGGGTCTGGGGGAAAATCAGCACACCAACAGTTTATACAAAAACCTTTTATTTACTATATTTTTTTTTCTTTCCACCCCTCTCCTTCCATCTGAAATTCTCTGCTGGCTCCTAAGGCTTCCTGCTGTCTGTTTCTAAAAACTGGGGTCGTGGGGACATGGTTGGGAGCAGAGAGGTGGGACTCTCACCCACGGGTTCTGGAACCTTCTCTGCCTAACAGAAGCTCTAGCAGTCTTCCAGGGAAGTTCCTCAAAGGTGAAGGTTCCCCGCACCAGGTGGACGTGAAGAGCTGTTACCAGGTATCTGTCTGTCTGTCCTTCTTTCTCCAGGAGAGAGCCCAGCAGCAGAGGAGGTGAGGTAAGGGACAAGGAGTGCTGCAGCCCTGGGCTCCGACCCACAAACAGGAAACCAGAGCAGGCTGCCCGGGGAACTGAAATGTGGAAGGAGGGTGCGACTGAGCAGGGGATGGGCCACTGGCCTAGGGAAAGGCCAGCCGGGCACCTCCCAAGAGAGCTCCCAGTCCTACAGCCACAGGGAAGAGGAAGAAGGTGCCCTGCCCCATTAGACAAAGGGCATAGTAAACTGATTTTTGGTCTGGAAGTGCCAGAAAGGGCACTGGTTGGCAAAGAAGAGGGCAGCTGGCCTCCATCTGCTGGGCACGGGCCTGGCTGTCCACCAGGTCAACACTGCCCATTTGGGTCTTTCATCTGCTTCGGCCATTCCTGCCCCTGGCAAGCTCAGCTTGTTCAGAAACCGCACCAGCCAGACCCCCGCTGGTGGGCAGAAAGGGGGCCCCGAGTGCCAGGGCAAGTCCCATGCATGGAGATACAGCCACGCGGGGCTCCCCCTGCAGTCCTGCTGCCTCAAGCCCCTCTGTGAAGGGCAGTGAGTGCCCAGGTCCTGGGAAGAGCTCTGCAGGAGCAGCGTCTCGTCCTGGGTCCTGCCCCTCAGCCTCAGAAGTCCGAGTCTGCATCCAGGAGCTCTGCCTCCATTAGGTTGGTGCGCGAGTGGATGGGCCCGAGGCCTGGCCGGCGGCCCTGAGCCCAGGCCGTGGGGCCCGGGGCGCTGGGCAGGAACGGGTCCTGGAGGTCTGGGCAGAAGGGGTTGGAGACCAGGGTCCAGGCTCCCTGGCGGCAGGGCTCCGGGGCTCCCCAGGCCCCAGTGGCCACCAGGCATTTCTGCCTTGGCAACTGAGGCAGTCGAGGGACGGCGCTGGAGGAAGGGCCGGGGGTCGGGTGGGGCAGCTCAGCCGGTGGCCTCAGTGGGCACACCTCCTTCTTCCTCTTCCTCCGCTTCTTCTTCCTGCCCAGGCGCTTCTCCAGCTCTGGGGAGATCTCGGCCTCCACCAGCCACAGGTTGGCTTGCTCCTCTGGAGGCACTGGTGGCGGGAGAGGTGTGGACTAAGCCTGGGCCCTGTTCCCCCCACACCACCCTTCTCACAGTCACCCTTCTTTCAGCTTGGGTCCTCCCCAATTCCTTGGACCCTCCAGGACAGCTCCCTCCTCTGCTGCCAGGAAAGTCCCTCTTCCTAAGGAATCCCCAATCCTCACACCTGGAGTCGCCACGGGGGTGACAGACACATCCTGGGGCAGGATGGCTCCTCTTCGAGCCACCATCTTGGTAACATGCTGGGCCCACGCAGAGGAGACGTCGGCTGAGGGCTCATTGAGGTCAAAGGCCAAGCCTGCTGTGGGGATGGAGTAAAATAAAAGTGAAGGGCAGTCCCTTGGTGGCACCTCCCTCATCTGGCAACAGTGTGCCTGCTCTGTCCTGGAAAGAATGCTTGCTGGGCGTGGTATCACAGTGATTTCCTCCTCAGGGTGAAGAGAGGTGCCAGAAATCTGGTTCCTTAAACCTTGACTGATTCTAGTCAGAGAAGAGCAAGTGTAGAAGATGAGAGAGAGAAAGCTGAGGCAGCATTTAGAGGGCCAGCACCTCCAAGTGGGAGGGTCACCGGTGAGGAAGCTCTGAGTTCTAGGGGTTTTAGTAGTAATAATAAAAAAAGAAAAAATTATATTGATTTGCTTACAAAGTTCATACACATTGTGTTTCACACTATCCTTCATTCACATACTGTTTCATACAATCATCCCCATTCATTATATTTTACAATCAACAGTAAACTATGCCCAGAATTACCCTGCCTTTCCAGATCCCTCTGGATCTTTCCCATTTCCTTTACTCACCCCGCCCTCCACCCATCAAATTGTACAACCTTATGATCCCCCTGCCCATCCTCACCGTTCTGCTCATAACCTTCCCCGCCTTGGATCCGCAGAGATATTTAAATAGTCATCTGTTTCTACAATAATGGTATTTGTCCTTATGAAACTGAGTTAACTCACTCAGCATAATTCTCTCCAGTCCCTCCCAAGTTATATATAGAATTGTTTTAAATTATTGCTGCATTATATTCCATTATGTGAATGTACCACAATTTCTCAATCCATTCGGTTGTGGTTGGACATTTGGGTTGTTACTATGTTTTTGCAATGGTGAGTAATGCTGCGATGTATAAATCTCCATTTGTATCTCAGTTCTAATTTGCTTGGCATTTATTCCAAGTGGTAGAATAGCTGGGTCTAGCCCATAGTATAAAAAGGCTGACAAATACAGCCAGAAATATACAACCAGGAGAGGATAAAATTGATGAATGGGTCCTTCTAACAATTAATCTCTGTGTGTACCAAAAATTTTTTCCAATAGAGTGAAAAGAAAACCTACTGACTGGGGGGAAAAATTTTGGCAATGTCATCTCAGATAAGGATCTCAAAACAAAAGTTTACAGAATCCTATGAGGCCTCTACCAAAAAAAAAAGAAAAAGAAAAAAAAGGATTAATAACCCAATTACAAGTTGGGCAAAAGACATGGAAAGACTTTTCACAGAGGAAGACACTCAGATGGCCAAAAGACACATGAAGAAATGCTCAAAATCACAGACAATAAGAGAGATGCAAAATCAAAACCACAATGAGATACCACCCCAGCAGAGTGACAAAGTTTAAAAGGACAGCAAGCAATAAATGTTGGAAAGGATGTGGAGAGATAGAAAACTCTAATACAGTGTTGGGATTGTAAAATGGTCCAACCACTCTGGAAGGTAGTTTGGCATGTCCTCAAAAAGCTGAACATGGAAAAATCCCTGAGTTCTAGTTTTTGGAGATGCGAAATCTGCCAGTGATTTCTGATAAAGGTTGCACAAACACTGACTCGCCAGTGTTGTAATATATGTATTTACAGTGTGTGTGTATATATTTATATATTTACAGTGTATATATATTTATGTTTATATTTACAGTGTATATATGTGTGTGTGTATATATATTTTTATATATTTATTTACAGTATGTGTGTGTGTGTATATATGTATGTATGTATATATATGTGTGTGTATATATATATTTACAGTATAGGACCAGCAAGCCGACCCAGGGGATGGAGAGGGCCTGAGAAGGAGACTGTGAGCGAGGAGGCAGTGTTTTCCCCCCTAGCCCCGCCCACAGCCGTCATCCAGGGCCAGCAGGCCCCGAGGCAGGGACAGGCCGAGCTCACCCACAGGCCCGTCGTGGGAGACCGTGTGCATGCTGAAGGACAGCTCCTGGCCCGGGTTCTGCAGCAGCTCTCGCCGTTTGGAGAAGGCCTTGGCGATCATCTTGCTCTTTTTGATGCGTTTAGGCTCATCATCGCTCTGCCCGGTCAGCCTGGGAGGAGAGAGGGTCAGGAGGGAGAGCAGCCAGTGACCCATCCCTCTGGGGAAAGAGGTTCCAGGGGGACTACAGTCCCTCAAGAATGCTGAGAAACCCGTCTTCTCTGCAATGCAATGGTCTGGGAAGGCAGGGGTCCTATGTGCCAGGTTCTCAAACACTCTTAGAAGATCCCCCCACCCCCAACCCCAGCAGCGGAGTCAGTTCCCTCAAGGACAGAACGTGCCACCAGGGGGCAGTGGCGAGCTACTGGGAAGGGTTTCAGGTGAGTCCGTGCAACCCAAGGTGGTGCAAGTTCCAAGTACAGACTTCTGAAAATGGGGAGCCTAGGGCAGAGCAGACAGGAGATCAGAAAGGCTGGCAGTGTGCCCCACCTGCACCAGGTGCGCCTCCAGATGAGCAGCGTGGCCTTGGTCCAGACCCAGGTGCTCATGGCAATGCCAGTGCCAAACATGGCAAACAGGTTGATCTTCTCCACCAAAAGGCTTGGGCGGTTCTTGATCTCACAATCAGGGATGGGCTTCTTGGTGGGCAGCCCGATGGTCACGTTGGCCTGGCACCTGGGGTGAAGGACAGTAGACAGACCAGGCCATCAGGGCCCCCAGAGTCCGGACTTTCTAAAAGGGTTGTGACAAGCAAAGCCCCACAGCAGATTCTCAGCCCCGGCTGCTCTCTGAAATCACTGGGCAGCTTTAAGGAGCCACTGATGCTGGTCCAGCTCAGCCCAGACTATCGAGTCAGAATCAGTCAGGGGAGGTGCCTAGCTCCCTTCTGTATGTTTGAGAGCTTCACCAGTAATTCGATTTACAACCACTGTTAGGAATATGGCCCTACAGCCTGGGACCACCGAGAAAGACAGGAGGAAGAGTACCGGTGTCCATTTTTAATGAGCATCATAAGTGCCATCCTAGAGGTCTTGGGTCGTACAAGTAAATGAGCACTCAGCTATTAACCAAAAGTCTTCATAATTTGATCACACCCAGAGGTGCACTGTAAGAAAGGCCTGGCAACCTGATCCTGAAAGTTTGCAGCCACGAAAACCAGCAGATCACAGGTATACTCTGTGCCCATGGGGCTGCTCAGAGTTGGAAACAACTTGACAGTAGCTAGGGAGCTCTGGTGGCTTTGTGTTAAGAAGTTTCACTACCAACCCAAGAGGACATGGTTCAAATCCACCCAGTTGCTTCATGGGATAAAGATGAGCAATTTGCTCCCTTGCAATTTACTGCCTTTGAAAGTCTGCTGGAGGGTCAGTTCTGAGTCCGTTTCAATCCGATGCTATATTACATGTCAGTAACTGGTTAAAATGGTAACAGCAGGTGTGTGCTGCACTTCTCCTGGCTGTATGGATGCCTTAATCCTCAGACACAAGAAAGCACAGGCAAAGCCAGCAAACAGGAAGTGTTACTACCTGCCAGGAAAACAATGCCTCTCACTCAGGACTCTATAGTACACTCTGTAAAACAGCAGATTCAGAGAGTGACTTCTGGGCCCAGAGAAACCAAAACACGAAATGGCTTTAAGTTACACACATGGGCCACGGGCATGCAGAGGGCTGGGTGGAGCTGAGCAGAAATTGAAGGCTGCTTGCCACGTTTGGCAAATTACAGAGCAAACAGTGTCTTGGGCACACGAGGAAGACAATCTGCTGGCTGCGGCTGGGAACTCGGAGGATTCCTGCTGCACAGCATGATGGGAGCCTGCCCTTCCAACTCGTCTCAGGCGCACAGCCTCTGCCTCCAAGCGCCCGGCCCTCACTCACAGCACGTAGTCCCGGAAGCTGCGCTCCCACTCAGCCTGGTTGAAGAAGTCGTAGAAGTGGCAGCTGAAGGTGATGAGCACAAAGCCAAAGGCCAGGAAGCCAAAAATGCCTGTGGAAGCCGAGAAAATACAGTCATTCAGTAAGCATTTACTATATGCCGAGCAAGGAGCACTGGTGGTGTAGTGGTTAAGTGCTTTGCTGGTAACCAAAAGGTTGGCTGTTCGAACCCACCAGCTGCTTGGTGGGAGGATGATGTTGCAATCAGTCTCCATAATGATTACAGCCTAGGAAACCCCACGGTAGTTCTCCTCTGTCCACCACGGTCACTATAAGTCAGAACTGGCTCGTTGGCAGTGGGGTTGTGCCAAGCACTAGGGCACGAACCGAAAAGTCGGGGTGGCTTGAATGTACCCAGAAGAACTTCAGAACACTAGCCAACCTTTCTACACTGGAAGGGCCATAGCCACTGAAACCCTTATGGAGGACAGCTGTACTCTGAAACACATGGGCCTCTAGGAATTGGACTGAATTGATGGCAACTTTATCAAGTGGAGGAGCCCTCGTGGTGCAACTGCTGAAGAGCCTGGCTGCTAATCGGAAGGTCAGCTGTTCCGACCGCATCACAGGAGAAGACAGAGCTCTGGTCTTCTTTCCAAGATGAAGCAGCTTCCTAAGATTTGACCTCATGGGGCACCGCTACCCTTCACTGTGATCATGACCGGATGCCCACTCACCCAGGCGCAGCATGGTCTCATTGATCTTGCTGGCAGCCTTCTCGCTCAGCAGACCAGGGTGGTTGCTCTTGATGGAGAACAGTGTCATGACTCCTAATGGAGGGAGACCTTAGATATTAGCAAGGGTGAGGCCACAAGCAAGAGTGAGGCCATATACTGGGGAATGTGGGGTTGAGGGTCTGAGGAGTCCTAGAATCCTGGGTCTGGTGACTCCTGTCCTTCTTTGAAGGGAACTGGAGACACTGGGGGAATGTATAGTCAGCTGGTAGAGACTGTCCCTGGACTAGGGTGATGAAAAGGACCTTGACTGACAATTGAGAGAAAAAGAGGGGGAGACTGACTTACATGGGATCCAGCTGCTCTAGGCAAGTCTTCAAGGTCAAGGTCATTCATGAATGTCATAAATTGAACTGGTTTCCCATATTTGTCACCTTAGCTGGGCCATGGTTCTCAGTAGTTTGACAATTATGTAATGATGATCTTATGAGATCAAACAATTGGAAGGCAGTATTAAGGGACTTAGGATGGGTTGTAACAGTTTTAATTATGTCACAACTCTGGGGTGTGGCCTGCATCACCTTTTATCTTACAAGAGAGAAAAGGAAAGAGAGCAGAGGGATCTACTAGCACAGAGAAAGAAGAGCAAGAGCAGAGTTTGTCCTCTGGACCAGGGGGTCCTCCATTAAGATATTCCTAGACCCAGGACGAAAGTGATGTCAAAGACTTTGCCCTACAGCTGACAGAGAAAACCTTCTCCCAGAGCTGGTCCTGAGCTTGGACTTCTAGCCGCCTACACAACGAGAACATAGATATCTGTGTTAAAATCATCCACTTGCTACAGCAAGACCAAGATGGAGACACACACACACAGCCACTTAAATTTTCCAATAGTCACATTAACAAAACACAAAGGAACAATGAAACCTTAATATAGTCCATAAACCAAATAAATCCCCAATATGACCACCACATAATCACCATGATAGATGATTGGGCTATTTTACACCTCTTTCTGTTCTTAGTCCTTGGAAGGTAGTGGGCATTTGGCATTTACAGTCTGGCTTAGGTTGGATGAGTTTCATTCAGGTACTTATGAGTCCCAAGTGACTAGTGGCCACTGTACAGGCCAGTGGAGACACAAGACAGACACCAGAGACTTAAACACACCCAGTCAGACACCAAAGACTCAAACACACCACCACAGAGACGGACAAGCCATGGCTGAACAGAGAGAAGGCTAAGAGCACAGGGTAATGAAACAGAAGTTTATGAACAACACAGCAGCAATGAGCTACCTGGATATAGAGGCTTATGGTGGAGATGGTCGGTGGCCATTGGGAAATTCAGAATGGTGTGTGGAATGAGAACTCTGTGTTGTGGAAGTGAGAATTGAATCCCTAAAGAATGGCGCTAGACACAAAACTCAGGTGCACACAGACTCCACACCCTACACCTGACCAAATTCCCTGAGCTGGCCTGTGTGGACAGGGGAGGGCTTTTGAAATGGTTTCCACAAAAGCCTTAAGCCGTGGCACAAGGCATAGAGAAAGGGGTGTATTTTTCTGACCAGCATGAAAAGTATTGGTTCCACACTAAGCGTCCATATTGCTATGGCCACCTAGAGGGGGTGTCTCCTCGTCTGCACCCAGACCCAGATGGACTGGCCGATGGCCCAGCTCCTGTCTACCCTCAGGAGGTGCTCTGTACATTCTCCATTCTCTGCTCACCTCGGATGAGGAAGTAGCCCCCCACGATGAGCACCAGGCCGATGGGGGCCAGCACGAAGCCGGCACGATAGCGGTAGTTCTTGTAGCCCACGAAGCAGATGCCGCTGACGGAGTCCCCATCCACCTGCAGCAGGAGAGGGCGGGGCATGGTGTTCACTCTCCCTGTGAGCCAAGCCCATCACCCTCAGGACCTCAGCCCCCCACGGTCACTTACCTGGGCCACAGCGAGTATGGCCACAGTGAGGACAAAGGGGAGCGACCACGTGAGCAGGTGGAAGTAGGAGGTCTTGCCCGACAGAGGCTGGTAGGTGGTGCCTAGGGCTTTGAAGGAGGTGTGCCAGGCATAGGTGAGGACCACGAACCACACCACGCCAGCCATCAGGGCGTAGTAGACAATGACAAAGATGATGACGCAGGACAGGGTCTCGTTGGAGCTGCGGACATGTGGGACAGTGTCACCTGGGGGCCTCACTCTGGGCTCCCTCCCTGGAGACAGGACTTGGGTCAGATGTAAAGAGGACTTGGAAGATGTCCACTGGGACAGGTACAAGGCACCAAGGTCTCAGACGGGGAAATGAAATGCTGAGATCTTGCACGCAAGGCACCATAACGAATGATCAATGACTGGGCTATTATGCATGTAGTTTTGTCCTACAATCTCACATTCAGGCCTCCCTCACCAGTCAGTGTTGAACATGCATTGCAGCCCCCTCTCTCCCAACCTTGCCTCTGGGTCCCCAAGACACATACGTGGGCTCCCCAAGTCTCATGGTGCCGTCTGCCCGGCAGACAATCTCCCGGCGGGCACCGTCCATGAACTGGGCCAGCCAGCCGATGCTGCCCACAAAGAAACACGCGTTGACATAGAAGAGAATCACAGCAGGGTAGCGGTTCGAGTTCCGCCAGTCAGCGACAAACGTGGCCTGGCGAGAGAAGCGGGCTATGCTGTGAGGCTCGGGCTATGCTGCTGCCTCAGACACCCTAGTCTGACCCCCTCAGTTGGTCCTGAGTTAATTGTGACTCGGGGTGACCCCCGATGTGCAGGGCAGAATTGAGCTTCACAAGTTTTTTTCATGGCTGTGATCTTCCAGCAGCAGATTACCAGGCCTTACTTCTGCGGCATCTCAACAAGGATTCAAATCACCCACCTTTCCATTAGTAGCACAGCCACTTAGCTCTCTGCACTACCCTGAACTCCCAAACACGCTGTCATCAAGCCAATTCCACTCGTGGCAACTCTCCCTCAGGTTTCCAAGGCTGTAAATTTTGATGGAAGGAGACTGCTCACTTTTCTCACCTGAAGTGGCTGGTGAATTGGAATTTCTGACCTGTTAGCAGCCTAACAGATTATATGCTATGCTGCCTGAGCTCCTTAGAATCTCCCAGACTCCCCTTCTCATGACCCTTCCCCTGGCCCTCCTCCCACTCTTGAGGCTGAGAAGGTCTCCTGGCTGCTGTGCCCCCCACCCCGTCCCCTGCCCTCTGCCCACAGCGGGCCCTCGGCTGACCAGGGTGAAGAGTGTGCAGAGGCCGGTGACGGCGCCGAAGCCAGCAATGTAACTGTGCATGTCCCGGTGCTCGTCCTCGGTGAAGAGGGGGTTCTGGCACTGGATCCCGCAGCCCTCCACATCCTCGTACCAGCTCTTGGGGTTGTCCGTCCGAACCAACGGGGCCTCGCACTGGCCCGAGCTGTTGAACTTGATGTTCTGCACCTCATTCTGGCATCACGGAGGTGGGAGGAGAAGACAATGTAACAAAAGGGGGTGGGGACTCAGGGTGAGAGGCTTCCGGGGTTTGCTTCCCAGCCTCGCCACATACTGGTTTTGTGACCTTGGGTGAACTATTTGACTTCTTTGATCTCAGTTTCCCCATTATAACAGTACTTACATTACAGTGCTATTTGAAGATTAAATGACTATATAAAATGCTTATACTAGAATTTGACATGCAGTAAATAATAAGTATTGTCACTATTATTATGATTATTATTCATTATTATACTGTGGTCTTTCATCACCCAGAACCATATCAGCCCTTCACTGTTCTACATCTACGCAGCTGATTCCCAAACAGAATTGAACCTTTTAGAGACAAGTCCTTGTCAACTAGGACTTCTGTAGTGTCCGACACCTAACAGAGTACATGCTTAAAATAGCCACGAGTCATCTGCAAATCCCGACAGCCACTGGGAGATTGGCCCAGCCCAAAAGCTGCAGCCAGGTTTGTGGCCTGAGGAGCCCATGGCCTCCCTGACCCTCTTGGGCCCAGCTGCCCTGTACCTGGTACCGCCCTCCCTGGACCACGGCCCTGCCCCACACTCACCGGGCAGCCTTCGGGGAAGTGGTCGGGGGTGCAGCGCAGGAAGTCGGGCCAGCCCCGCTCCCGCTCAACGATGGCACAGGGGCCGCGGGTGGCCTGGCAGAGGGTGCGGCTGGGCAGCTCCACCCGGTCATTCTCACACTTGGGCATGTACACAGCGCACAGCAGGGGCTGGATCACCGCCCAGCAGCGAGGGGCGTTCCGGAGGCCTGCAGTGGCAACAGTGTGGACACCTGGAGTAAAGACCCCTCGTCACCCTGACCACAGACGTAACCGCATCCCTGTGCCCCCAGGCCGCAGGCATCTCTGTACCACACCACAAGCCACAGCTGCTCAGAGCTGCCAGGCAGGTGCTCCTCTCCAAGACACCCAGGCAGGACTGCACCACAGATCACAGGACCCCGTGAACCCCAGGGCCGTGCCATGCTGCGTCCCTAGACCCTGCTGGTTGAGCCACTCAATCACCATGCACCTTGTGACTGGGAAAGAGTCTGGAGAAGAACTTGCAGGCTGTTGGCAGCACTATGTTTTGTTACACAGGTGGATTCCTTCTGGGGAATCCACTCCACCATCCTCATGTTTTCCTGGATGCATATTATAACCAGTTAAAGTAGCCCCCATAACCAATGCCTGCTGGCTTAGGAACTCAAGTGGAATCCCACTTTTGGGTGCCTCTTAAAGCCAGTCCACCCCCAGGAGGCAGAGAGGACTGGACCCCACCCTCACAGAGTCCATTCTCCAGAACTGATTTCCCCAGGCCCAGAGTCCGGTTCCTCTTACCGCGCTGAGGTGAGACAGAGAAGAGGTGGGAGCTTAGGAAGAAGTCAGAGGAGCCAGGTACTCCAAAGCCAGAGGAGGCGACAGGAGTTCAGATGGAGAGAAACAGAGGAGGCTCTGTACAGCACACGGAGGAAGAAAGGTGTGGTCAGTGAGGAGGAGTGGGCCCAGGCCTCCCTATACTGTCCCAGCCCGGCCTTCACCTGCCCATCCCAGGAGAAGGGCTCACTCGGTGTGCTCCAAACCACCCCTGGCCCAAGAACACCCATTTCCCAGGCTCAAGTTCTGTTAGGAGAAGCTTCTGAGTATCATGGGGCCACTACTCCCCTAAGATTCTGCCTTTGAAATCCTACAGAGCAGTTCTGTTTTGTCCTGAAAGATCACTAGGCGTCAGAATCCACTCCATGACACACAAGAACACGACTGACCTATAAGGGAAGAGTCCTGGTGGCTTCATGGTTAAGCCCTTGGCCTGAACCCACCAGCAGCCCTTGGAAGAAAGACCTGGTTATCTGCTCTGATAAAGATTAAAAGATACCTCTCACAGAGTCACTAAGAACAAAAAACTATCTTGATAACATTCAACAGCAATGAGATAAGGGCATTACCGTTGGCCTGTCTGGGTCCAAGTCTTGGCTCTCCTGTTCCTTAGGGGTGTGATTTCAGGCAAAAGACTTAATTGCAGCTGATAACCAGAATACCCTTCATTTACCCACATACAAATGACAACCTGTAGTTGTTAAGGACTATGGCAAAGAATCACAGGCCAAGGATGTCATTGAAGAGTATTTCAAATGCAAGAAATGAAACCAATAAAGAACTTGGCATATTGCTTTTACTTTTTTGAGGGGAGTGAGGAGCAATAAAATGGAGATTTTATAACAGAAAAAAAAAACCCTGTAAATTAAAGCAATGGATTCGAAGTGAAGATACTAAAGAGAGACTTCAGTTATTAAATGTTTCAGCTCCTTTCCTGGATGTTCTAACCTTTTTATAAGGAATTGTAGGAAGTGTCTTCTTACCTCAAAAATTTATTCTAAGGTTTGAAATCCACCTCAGATTTAGAACTAACAGTAATCATTCCTAAATTTTTCTCATAGGATAAAACTACACTACAATTTAAAAATAACCCCCACCATAATCATGCATTACTCCGAACTTCATTCCCAAGAACAAAAGCATAAACTGAACGTAATGAGTGGCAGGGGCTTATGTGAAGATCACGGAAATCAATCTAACTTCTACAGCCAGTTTGAAGTGTAAACATTTGGTTCTCAAAGAGTCTTTATTATTACCTGAAGATTAGTCTTATCTAATAAACTTATTCAAATAAAGAGAGAGAACCCACTGGAAAAAAAAAACAGAATTCCAATTTCCAGCCTCAGTTTCCTCATTTGTAAAGCAGATGTGACAGGTCACCTCATGCAACCTTAAGATCGAGATGCACACACTGAGTGTTCAGAGTCTCTGTTCTAGAGTAAGTGCTAGCCATTAACTTTACTTGTCAGATTCTCATTCACTCACAGCTCTTATTTCTACAAAGAGAGAGCAAGCAAGACCAGGGGTGCAGCGGACTCCTGCCACATGAGACGTAATATCCTCAGGAGATGGTTCCCAAACCTGCCTCGAACTAGAATCACTTCCTGTCACTCTTGACGAAGAGGCTGCCCTCAGAACCTCAGACCGCGGGGCACAGCTAGCTGACCGGGTGGGTGTGGGAAACTTGTCTGTAACGAGCCTGCAGCACCAGAAAATATCTGGGGTGAAGAGGTTGTTCTGTATCTTCATACAACTATCCACATTTATCAAAACTCAGACTTCCAAAACCAGAAAGTGAACTTTGCTGTAAATTTATCAAATAATATATTTTAAAAGGGTGGTGGACAGTGGGAGATCCTGAGAGCAAGATACACGCAGAAGGGGTATCAGACAACTCATTGATAAAAGTATGATGTTGTTTTTCTGGATTTTGTGATACTTCTGGTGATTTTCAACTTTAAAACATTTGTCTTTTCATTCTTTTTTAAAAATGTCAAATAAAATGGTATTTCAGACTGAAACAAACAAAAACCCTCTCTTCAAGAAAAAGATAGATGAGGGAGCTCTGGTGGCCTAGTGGCAAGAAGCTGCACTGCAATCCCAGAGATATGTGGTTCGAATCTATAAGATGCTCTGCTGGAGAAGGAGGGGCAGTCTCCTCCTGTACCAGTCAGATCTGATTTGATGGTATACACACACACAAATAATAAAAAATATTTAAAAAAAAAGGAAAAGAAAGCATAAAAATTTTAAAAAAAAGAAAGAAAAAGATAGATGATTAAATAAATCTTTAAAAGGCTGATTAGAGAGCCAGCCAGAGGGGTGTGGGAAAGTTGGATCCTTATCCTTTTATTACATCAAAATAAATTCCAGATGAATAAAAAATAATCATATTATTAGAAAGAAAAACATTAAACTGCTAGAACAGAACATGGGAAATAGGTTTTAGATTCTGGCATGGAAGGGTCCTTTGAAGTCTGACACAAAATCCAGAGGCCATGAAAGAAAAGGTTTTAAAACAAGACTTCAGAAAAAGAGAAACATCAGGAGGAGAGAAAATCATCAGGTAATACATTGGGCAAAACTATAAGACAAGAGTGTGTGTGTGTGTGTGTGTGTGTGTGTGTGTGTGTGTGAGATGTGCCATCAGGTCAGAACCAACTCCCAGCTGACCCTCTGGTGGGTTTGCAGAGGCTCTGAATCCAGTGGAAGGAGAACTTCCTTCTTTCTCACATGGTTGTAGCTACTGGATTCGATCTGTACACCCCTGGGTTAACATTAGGTTAGCAGCACAATCCTTTATCCATCCGGCCACCAGAGTTCCCTTTCTAATAATACATATACCACAAGTAAAGAGCTAATTCCTAATATGTACAAAGCTCCTCCAAGCCAATTAGAAACAGACAACTAAAAGGTCGGCAGTTCAAACTCACCCAGCTGCCACACAGGAAACATGGCGGGCAATCACTTTCTATAAAAATTCCAGTCTGGAAAATCCCATGAGGGAAGTTCTCCTCTGTCACACGGGGTTATTATAAGTCTGAATTGTCTGAAAAGCACTCAACAAGAACATTAAAAAAAGGGGGGACAAAAGGCACAAACAGAACTCAACCTCATTCATGATAAAAGAAACGGGATCGAGGGGAGAAGGCAAAGAGATAGCACTTTTAACTTCAAGTGGTTTTATTTTGCTATTAAGTGCCATCAAGTCAACCCTGACTGATAACCACCCTCGGAACAAGGGATCTGAACTTGTCCTATCCTTCTCGTCAAGGGTCTTTTTTTTCTTTCTCTGACCTTCTACCTTTCTCAGAATGACTTGTCTCTCCAAGGACTAGTTTCTCCTAAAATATGCCCAGAGTAAGGGAGCCGAAGTGATGGAATGAGTGGAAACACTGCACTGACTGCGTGTGAGGGAAACACATTTTCTGGATCACTACTAAGTGAGTTGACACTGGGGAGACTGTCTGGATTATCTATCTGCATTTTAACCTGGAAATGCCACTGCCTATAGTCACAAAGATAACAGAGGGTTGTTCACTATAGCACTGAGTGGAACTGTGAAAGAGTAGAAAGTTTGAATGCTTATCCAGAAATAAGAAACCCACTGAATGAAATACATCAGTACAACAGAACTATGGTGGGGCAATCTGCATGATATCTCCAGTACACACTGTCATCTGTATCTACTATGAAATTGAGAACAGCCCAAGAGCTTGCTAGTGCTTGGTGGGGAAAGATTTGGACTTATCTACATTTGTACCAATGTCAGATTTCTATACTGGTGGTTGCTGCTAAGGAATGGAAATAGGAAACTGTAGAAGTGTTAGGTGGCATCAACACACAACAGAATGAAATACTGCCTGATCCTGTGTCGTCCCCATCATCACCGATCTTTGAGCCCATCCTGCAGCTACTGTGTATGTCAACTATGTGGTTCAAAGTCGTCTCCTCACTGACCGTCTGTTTTACCAAGCACAATGTCTTTCTCCAGAAACTGGGCCCTCCAGACAGCATGTTTCAAGTTCGTGTAGTGAATTTTTGGCATCCTCCTTACTAAGGAGGTTTCTGGCTGGACTTCTTCCAGGACAGGTTTGTCCCTTTTTTCTGTTAGTCCATGGTACACTCAATATTTTTTGCCAACACCACATTTCAAACCCATCAATTCCTCGGTCTTCCTTCTTCCTTGCCCAGGTTTCATATACACATGAGGTAACTAGAAAATTATCAGGGCTTGGATCAGGCACTCTTCACTCCTCAAAGTAACATTTTTATTCCTGATATTGTAAAAAGGCCTTTTTCAATGAAATATATCATTTGATTTCTGAGTGCTGCCCCATGGGCACTGATTGTAGATTCAAGTAAAATGACATTCTTTTTAACATTTTTTTAT